TAGTCTAGTGGTACTCCTTGGACTTCTGAAGAGGCCACTTAAGTGACCACTTAGACGTCAAAACCCTTAAGTGACCAGAATTTGATTGAATTCCTGATTTTTTTGGAGCCCTTTCTATTATATTTCCAAAGATACTTTGTATTTTGAAATCAAATCTTCCCCAAAGAAAACATTTTCCTTCTTCTCAAGGCCAAAGCAACGGGCCGTAATTTCACACTGTTTCTGAGACATGGCAGGGCCAAAAAAGGAAATTTTTTCGAAGACCCTCATCCATCAAAGCCCCCCGAAACGTTGTTCCGCTCCTCTCGGACTTTTTCTCCTTTGCAGAGGAATGATAATATTATCGTTACCATCTTGAGAGGAGATGGCAAAAAGCGGTTTTTCATGATTTATTGGATAGATTATTGATAAGAAGGGGCTTTGGAAGCGTCTAGGAAAGTTCTTGAACAGATTTTGTTCAACGAAATTGTTTTCTTCATAAATTTTGAGCATTTTTCGAGTAAAATGGCAAAAAAGAAAGTTTTGAGTGAAATAGGAAGTTTCCTGGGTTAAGATTTGATTGGAAGGATTTTTTAAAATTGCATATTAGGTTTATATTCCACAGAAAGTCCCTGGAATGGAACCTATGAAGTTTTTTTATCCAATAATCGTTTTTCGAAGCTTTTTTCCTATATAAAAAGCTGTGGGCGGAAAAATTCCGACTTGCGCAAGTCGTTTCAGAGTCGGGCGCATTTTCCTAGGGACAACGAGGCCTTGAGCCATTCCTCTCCGCTTTCTAAGTATTAATTAAGAGAAATGAGAATTATTTTTAACTAGCTAACTTACTAGGAAGGTCATTTCACTTTTTGATATTTTTTAAATTCGTCAGATTTCTCCTTGATATAACACATGAAGACCCTACAGTCAAGTGGCTAAGACTTCAAGCTCTCACTAAATGGGTCTCAGGTTCGAGTCCATGAAGCGCCAAAAAGATTCAGAAAGTCTCAACCTGCAAAACTTCCTAGTTTCCGAGAAATAAGGCCAAAAAATGGTCGGTTTTTATGGATTTCGAGAAATTTCTTTGACTTCTCAAAGCTAGAAAGTTCGACAGATGTGGATTTTCAGGGTCTTTTTCTGGTACATTAGGAAGTGTTCTGGCCAATTTTCAGGAAGTTCTTAACCGCAAAATAACCCCCTGTTGGAAAAAAATGAAACAAATTTCAAAGTTTTTTTAACTCTCTAGGAAGTTCTCTAGTGGCCACTTAAGGAGCTTCTCAAGGATTATCTGGAGAGGACACTAAAGTGGCCACTAAAACCACCTCTATAGAAGCCACTATCTTGCGTCTTAGTGGCCACTATAGTAGTTACTAGTGGTCTAGTAGTACTCCTTGGATTTCGGAAGAGGCCACTTAAGTAGTCACTAAATCGACCACTATAGAGGCCACTGAACGGTCAAAACCCTTAAGTGGCCACTAAAAACATCATTATAGAAGTCACTATTTTTCGTTTTAGTGGCCACTATAGTAGTTTTTAGTTGTCTAGTAGTACTCCTTGGATTTCTGAAGAGGCGCTAATTTTGAACCCCTTAAGTAGACACTAAATCGACCACTATAGAGCCCACTGAAATGTCAAAACCCTAAAGTGGTCTCTAAAAACATTTCCAGCAAAAATAATCCAATTTGAAGGTCCTTTATGTTGTTTTTCTATCCTCTTCATGTTGTTTCCCAAAGACAATTTGATGGGCTGGAGGAGGCCCTTTTGACTGGAACCCACTCTCTTTCTCTCTCTCTTCCTTCCTTCCTTCCCTCCCCTTTCATTTTGCGGCCATTTCGGCCCAGATTCTTGCCGATCTGCGTGGATTTTCACGCTGTTTGAACCGTTGTTGCCCGGGGAGACCGGTCTTTTTTCGAAGATTCCTCGAGATTTCATTCAATTTCATTGAAATTGGATTTTTTGAACCTTGTAAGGATTTTTTGAACTTTGTAAGGATTTTTTGAACTTTGTAAGGATTTTTTTAAACTTTGTAAGGATTTTTTGAACTTCGTAAGGATTTTTTAAACTTTGTAAGGATTTTTTTGAACTTGTAAGGATTTTTTTAAACTTTCTAAAGGTTTTTTTGAACTTTGTAAGGATTTTTTGAAGTTATTTGGTTTTTTTCTTTGAGGAGATTTTCAAGTTTTTCCAAATTTTAACAACTTTTTCGAACAATTTTTGTGATTTTGAACATTTTTTAAGCATTTTCTCAAAAATTTTTTTAGGTATGATGAGTGTTATTTTATTTTTCTAAGTGAGTTTTTTTATAAGGCGCTGAGTTTTTTTAACCTCAAAAAAATGCACTGAAAACGGCTTTTTCGCCTCGAGACCTTCATCGATTTCGTCTATGCTCCTTTAAACATTTCAAATGAGACTTTTATCACTTCTCTTAAGTGGCCTCTTAAAAACCGTTTTTCTTTTTTTTTCTGGTACCTATTTTACCGCTTGGACACCCGTCTGAAAACGGTTTTCGTTTCGAGACCCTCATTAGTTTCGTCTATGCTCCTTTAAACAGGGAAAAGCTCAAGTTTATCAAAGTTTCAAGTGTTTTTTGCTCAGAACTCTGCGCACCTCTCTTAAGTGGCCTCTTAAAAAATCTTTCTTCTTTTTTGGTACCCATTTTGTCGCTTGGCGAACCGTCTGGAAGCGGATTTTCACCTCGAGACGTTTATTAGTTTCGTTTATGCTCCTTTAAACATGTTAACTGAGAAATTCAAAAGGCTAAGGCTCAAATAAATCCATTTTTCACTTTCAAAACGCATCTATAAGTACTTTTTTATCGCTTAGAAGACCGTCTGAAAGCGGTTTTTCGCTTCAAGACCTTCATTAATTCCGTTTATGCGCCTTTAACCATTTGCAATGATTTTTTGAAAAGCTAAAGCTCAAATAAACCCATTTTTCACTTTCAAAACTCATCTATAAGTACTTTTTGCTCATAACTCTGCGCACTTCTCTTAAGTGGCCTCTTAAAAACCCTTTCCTCCTTTTTTTTCTGCTACCCACTTTACCGCTTGGCCAACCGTCCTTTGTGTTCGTGACGGTTCCCCATTCGATCCATCTTTTTTGTTGTCGTTTTTTGATCAGTTTTGCGTTTTTATCTACCTTTTGAATATTGGAAATCTAAAAAAATAGGGTTAATTTAAGGTTCCGATAAATTTTTCCTCTTCTTTTTTGAAATTTATTTATTTTAAGGTCTCAGGAAGGTTAAAAATCTAATAAGATACGTTTTTTGATGAATTCTAGCCTGAAAAAAATTTTTGCTTTTGATTTTTTTTTGAGTACATTGATTAAGAGAAAAATCCTAGAAATACAGTTTTTCATAATATTTTCTCGCTTTTTCTAGGTTTATTTTCGTATTTTTCTGGCTTTAAAATCAATCTTCGAAGCTTTTTTTCCGTATGGATATCAAGTTATTTTGTTTAAAATCCTGTTTAAAATTATTTTAGAGGGATTTTAACTGTTATTTTGTATTTTTTTGGTTCTAAATATCGATCCTCGTAGTTTTTATTCGTTTATCAATCATTTTTTTCTTCATTCAAAATAGCATTTCAACTCTTTTTCAAAAAGTATTTATTTCAATTTTAACTGTTAATTTTTGTAGTTTCCGAACTGAAAATCCCTTTCCGGAGCTTTCTTTCGTCTTTTAATCGATTTATTTCATTAAAAATTGCATTTTAAATCATTTCAAAAGTAACTTTTTCAACTTGAACCGTTTATTTTGTAATTTTCCGGTTTAAAATCACTTTTCGATGCTTTTTTCGTCTTTTAATCGAGTTGGTCTTTTGAAAATTCGTTTCAGATGTATTTAAAAAAGGAATTTTTAGAATTTCAATCGTTTATTTTGTAGTTTCTGGTCCTAAAATCACTTTTTCGGAGCTTTTTTTCGTATTTTAATCGAGTTGATCTATTGAAAATTCGTTTCAGATGTGTTTAAAAAAAGGTATTTTCAGAATTTCAACGGTTCATTTTTGTAATTCACGCTCTAAAAAAATCACTTTTTGAAGCTTTTTTTCGTCTTTATCGAGTTATTTCATTAAAAAAATAAATAATTTTTAAAAAGTACCTTTTTTTCAACTTGAACCGTTTATTTTTGTAGTTTCCGATCAAAAAAATCTTTTTTTCTGAGCTTTCTCCTTCTTTTTAATCGATTTAGTTATTTATAATTTCTTTTTTTAAATGATTTCAAAAGTAGTTTTCAACTTGAACTGTTTATTTTTGTGATTTTCGCTCTAAAAAAATCAAGCTTTGAAGCTTTTTTTCCGTCCTTTAATCGAGTTTCAGAGGAATTGAAAAAGGAATTTTAAGATTTCCAACCGTTTAATTTGTAGTTTCCGTACTAATAATCACTTTTCGGAGCTTTTCTCGTCTTTTAATCGAGTTATTTCATTAAAAATTGCATTTTGAATAATTTCGAAAGTATTTTTTTCAACTTGAACCGTTCATTTTTAAATTTCCGAACCTAATACCAATCTTTGAAGTTTTTTTCGGTCTTTTTAATCGAATTATTCTATTAAAAAAATACGTTTCAGATGTATTCATAAAAGGTATTTTTAAAATTTCAACCGTTTATTTTGTAGTTTCCGCTTTAAAAATCACTTTTCGGAACTTTTTCCGTCTTTTAATCGAGTTTCAGATGTATTAAAAAAAGGATTCTTCGAATTTCAACCGTTTATTTTGTATTTTCCGCTTTAAAAATCACTTTTCGGTGCTTTTTCCGTCTTTTAATCGATTTATTTTGAGTTGAAAATGCTTTTCAAGCCCGTTAAAAATACCAATTTTTGCAGTGTTCGCCGCCCACCGACACTCGAATCGAACGAACCACCAAAGTGACGTCGACGGAGTCCTTCTGTCCGCACTTTCGTGTTTTTCCCTTCCCAAAAAATATTCCCATTGAACTCCTTCGTCTGATTATTCTTCCTGTTCTGAAACTCGACGGATTTTTGATCTGAAACGAGAAAAAGTTCGATTTCCCCTGATACATTTTCACGATGGGCATCCTCGATCACTCTCCCTCGTCCTCAGGTTCGACATTTTTTTGGCTTGTTTCCAATAAAATCCGATTATTTTTTTGATATTAACTTGTTGGGAAAGTATTTTATATTTTTTCGTGGAAAAATTCGGATTTCCGCCTTGTTTTTTCCCGGGAAAACTGTCCATTTTTGACAAATTCATGTACAAATTGTACCATTGAAAGTTAGGAAATTCCACCTCGTTTTTTTTCCGGGAAAATTGTCCATTTTCAACAAATTCTAGTACGAGTTGTACCATTGAAAGTTAAGAAAATGCTCATTTTTGCGGTTTTTATTTAAAATTCGATCAAAAATCCTTGAAAAAGGTCGTTAAAATCGAATTTTTCAACAATCTTGTCACTTTTCGATACTTTTTTGTTTGAAATTCTCGAATTTTTCGATCTCAAGTGTTTAGATGTCATTTGAATTATTACCAGGCTTATAATTTAATTTTTTTAAATTTAAAAAGGTCTTGAGAAAAATTGGATAGTTTTATAAATAACGAATTTTTCAACCTTTGTAGACTTGATTTATATGGAAAAGGATAATTTTCCTCGAAAACTCCTAGAAAAAAAGCTCGTTTTTTTCAAGTTTTTTTCAAAGACTCTTATTCCTTTGAAACTTCAGAAAAGAGTAAAAAAATTCTTATTAAATAAAGATTCAAAATAAATAACTTTACGGTTTCATGGAGTGTCCTGGCTAAATCAAAGAATCAGTGATTTGTGATTGTATAAAAAAACTTTCGATAGAAAAATAGTAAAACGTTAGATTTTTTTCAATTTATGTGTCTATAAACGTATTAGAATTTGGATAAACTAGATAATTTCAGTGAATTTTCCGTTAAATTATCGATCTTTCCTTGGAAATGAAGCTTTTCGGACACTTCTTCATTTTTTTCTTGAAGGTTTTAGGATTTATTTTTATTTTTTTCGATTTTTCAGAAGCCCCTGATTTTTTTGATTCCGAGCCTCCAAAAATTTAAAAAAATGTTCACTTTATTCAATTTTTTTCACAGATTTTTGCGAATTTTTCCGACCCCCCGGCCTGGATTTTTTTCGATTAGACGACTTTTTAATAGCTCACGTAGCACTTCAGAACAAAGAAAAGAGAGCTTTTGATCATTCAAAACAGTTTTTTGACCGTTTTTCTCAGAAAAATGGATATCTTCCAGGAGTTCCGCGACGCGGCGCGTTCGGGATCGACTGGTCGACGTGGGTGCCGGCGGTGACGCCGAAGACGCTGCTCTCCCACTACTTGCCGGCCTCCGGCGCCCTCTCCCACACCCTCTACACCGTTCACTTGTTCAGCCCCACCATCATCTCAAAGTCAATATTTCCATCGGTTAAAAAATTAAACAAGCTGGAATTGACCTAGTTGAGGCGGAAAAACGGGCCGGGAAAGTTTTTAGTGGCCACTATAGGGTTTTGACGCTTTAGTGGCCACTATAGTAATCAAATTAGTGACCGCTTAAGGGATTAAAAATTAGTCGCCACTTAAAGGTCTAGGTGATTCTAATGGGTAATCAAAAACTACTATAGTGACCACTAAGATACAAAATAGGGGCTGTTATAGAGGTGGTTTTAGTGGCCACTTTAGTGCCCCCTCCAAGTAGTCCTTGGCGAGCCTCTATAGTGGCCACTAAAAATTTTCCCAGTCCAGTGTTCCTTCCAGTAACTCTGATGATGTTAAAACAAACATATTGGACCATTTATGTTGATCCATTGACCCCTAAAGTGGCCACTAAGTAGTCTAGTAGTAGCACTTAGACCTCTATAGTGGCCAATAATTTTTAACCCCTTAAGTGGCCACTAATTTGACGACTATAGTCGCCACTAAAACGTCAAAACCCTATAGTGGGCACTAAAGAATCTCCCAGTATATACCATTTTTTTCAAATAAGAACTCAGAAGGACCTCATAGGTATTATGAAAGAAAAACCTTCTTTTCTTCTTTTCACAGTTTCTTTCTTTCCTTACGCCACTGTACGGCTTGAGCAGTACCAAGTAGATGAGCCAAGGTCTGCGGTTTTATGAATTCGTGGTTTTCCACTTTCAACATTTCATAAACCCCTCGGGGATTGAACTTGTGACCCTATGATCCGTGCCTCGAATCTATGAGTTGAGAAAAGATATTCTCGGTATATTTACGGACATAAGTCAATTTAGAGAATACACTTAAATGATCGTCATGAAATACTGAAGGTCTTGAGATTATAGAAATGGTCCTATTGAAACGTATGTCATCTTGAAGACCAGCTTGAAGCTTTTTTCACATTTTCAAATGTTAAAATTTTAAATCTGCGTGGCTCAGGGCATTTCTAATGGGGTGAGCGAGGCGTCAAAGTTTCTGAATTTACAAAAAAAGATCAAGTGCGCGCTCCGGATAAAATGCACTGAGTATTCAACATCAATAACTTGTTTGTTCGATTGCCTTTGGCTGCGTACTTGAGATTCAAATTTTCGCGCCAAATTTTTTTTTGACGTCTCCTTACTCCATTCAAGAACGCCGTGGGCTTGAGAGTGCTTCGAAACGAAAAAAACGCTGAAAAAAATCGATTTAAAAAGTTTCTAGTTAAACCTCTAAAGAGAAATCAAGAAACTGAGAATTTTAGAATTTACTGAAAACTCAAGAATTAAATTTGTTATTGAGTTTTTGATTTTTAAAGAAGAATAGAAATTAAAAAAACGTATTTGATTTGAAAGTGGAAATACTTTATCTTCCGTAGTACTGGGCCGAAAAATACGCTGATAAGATCCCGTTTTGCGCCCTTTATCAAGCTTTTCAATATTCACAATATTTCAAAGGGTGGGAAAAGGCGTCAAAATGGGTCAATAGAGGCTGATAAAAGGGCGCAAAAAGGCGACATAATGAAAAATTTGGTTTCATATATTCGGGAAAGTTCAACGGAACCTTAACGGTTCATGTGTTTCTGAGAAGTTTTGAGAGTTTTTCTCCCCATTTTTTTTTTGGCAATAGAATAATTTCGCAGGATGTTCCCCACAGCCGATTTGGCGGTGAGCAACTCGATTCTGTTCAATGCGAACGTGGGCCTCGGGTTCTACGTGTATTTCAGAAGACATCTACAGCGCGTCGACCCCTGGGACCGCGTCGAGTTCAGGTAAGGTCCGAAAAAGGAATGGTTAAATAAGGACTGGGGGCGGGGGTTTCAAAAAAATATTTTCGGTTTACTCGAAAAAAAGAGACCTTTCTGTGGGATTTAAAAGCGAATTTATAAGGTTGAACATAGTTCTATTAAAAAAAGGATTTCTCTATAAAATTGATGGAAATGCGTACGGCTTTTTTGAGGAAAAATGTGTCCCTTTTTTTCAAAATTTTTTTCGTTTTACTCGAAAAAAAGAGACCTTTTTGTGGGATTTTGAGGCAAATTTATAAGGTTAAACACAGTTTTTATCGAAATCAAAGGATTTTTTTCTATAAAATTGATAGAAATGCGTAAGGGAAACACGGTTTTTTTGAGAAAAAAATTTGTCCCTTTTTTTCGAAATTTTTTTCGTTTTTACTCGAAAAAGAGACCTTTTGTGAGATTTTTAAGGGGAATTTATAAAGTTAAACACAGTTTTTTTCTGAAAAAAACGAAGGATTTTTTTCTATAAAATTGATAGAAATGCGTAAGGGAAACAAGGTTTTTTTGAGGAAAAATTTGTCCCTTTTTTTCGAAATTTTTTTCGTTTTTTTCCGAAAAAAAGAGACCTTTTTGTGGGATTTTGAGGCGAATTTATAAAGTTAAACACAGTTTTATCGAAATCAAAGGATTTTTTTCTATAAAATTGATAGAAATGCGTAAGTGAAACACGGTTTTGGAGTTTGTATGAAAAACCCGTTTTCAGAGAAAATTGGAAATTAATGCGTTGCGAAAATAATAAAATTGCTCCGTTTTACTTAAAAAAATGATCAATTTTCAACAGATAAAGGAAAATTCGAGAAAGGTTGAACTTTATTTTTCAATGACACTACTGAAAAAATGGTTGGATTTAAAAATTTGGTAGAAAAAGTGGATTTTTTTCTGCTTGAAAAAAAGATTTCTTTCAGTGATTTTTTTCCGTTTAAAATAGTTTCTGAGCTATCTGAATTTTTCGATTTATGAAATTTAACCGACTCGGGCAAAGTCGGAATGGTATATAATGGCTCCTGAAAGGGAGAGGCTCAAAAAAGGCTGCAAAAAGGCAGCAAAAAGGTCCCTTTATCGAGCCTTTCTGGGACTTTAAAGGCTCAAGAAATGGTTGAAAAAGGGAGAGGCGACAAAAATGGTGCAAAAATGCTGATAAAATGGTGCAAAAAGGTAACAAAAAAGGAACATTTTTTATAGAGCCTTTTTTCACCCTTCCCACTTTTCCTATGAATATTAAAAGATTTGAAAAGCGTCCTCTAAAAGTTCACTTGTTTTCTCAGAGTTTTGAATACCTTTTTCCGAATAAACACTGCAAAAACCCTTTTTAGAAACCAAAAAATGCAATTTTTCAACCTCCAGCACAATTCTTCAAGCAATTCATCGTTTCCAACCGATTTTTTTGTTATTCTCATGAAAAATTGCGTTAAACTCTTGCTGGGTTGTGTCCAGTTGATTGGGGAAAGTCGTTCATCACTCAAGGGAAACCAAGTGATTATTTATGAGAACGGGCCCAACTCATTAATTTCCCCCAAGTGTAATACTTTCCCCAAAGAACTTTCTGTCAGCTGCTCTTCCTGTTTTTCCGCTTTTTGATCCGATTTTTTGGAGTTTGTGGGGAGAGAAAGCAAAGTATATATGAGGAAAATAATTTTGAAAAAAATAAAGGGAAAGCTATGTTATTCAGTATTTATGGAGCTTGAAAAAGTGAGAATATGGGTTCAAATAAAGTTCTAAACGAGTAAAAAGTTCATATTAAAATTTATTAGTTTCCTGAGACTTTTGGGGAAGCCGACAAAGGAAAAAAAAAAGAAGTTTTTAAGCCTAAAACCTAGAGTGGGCCCTATAGGGGTCAGACGGAAAAAAAGCCCCTAGAGGGATCGTAAAAGTGGTCCCTATAGGTGAAAAATCAAGGTGGTCCCTATAGGGGCTTTTCATTTTTACTCAAAAAGCGCTTGTTTATTCAGTTTTTGTCATGGGAATGCTTCTTCAGGGTTCATAACAATTTCCGACTAGCATGTCCCCTACAGGGATCACTTTTTCAAGCTTTAGTGGCTTCTAAAGGGGTTGGCAAAGTGCCCCCTAGAAGCGCCCCTAAGGTTGTCCCTATAGGGACCACTCCAGGTGCATAAAAAAAAGAGATTATGGTTTTTTTTCAGTGTATTTTCTTCGACTGTCTTCAACTTTGGCAGTTTACTCGCAGCGGTCCTCGTCAAGGCATTGATTCCAGCAAAGTTTGTATTTTTTTAGAGTAATATTGAGAAAAAAATCGTGTGAAAAATCGAAAAAAATATTCCCATTTCATCGTATTTTCTTCCATATTCTGAGTTTTTCTATCTTTCTTACTGGCAAAAAAACCTCAGTGATTTTTTTCTTTTTTTCCAGAAAAAAACTATACTTTTGATGAAAAAAACCTTCCAGAGCCCCGACATGGGCGAAAAGCTTGGTGGCAGCTTCGATGAGCGTTTATCTGCTGACCAGGGCCTACAAGTACCTTCACTACGTTGACGCTCGTTTCTCAAGGAGCTCGCCTTCACCTCCGAGAAGGTAAACTATCAAAAATCCCATCAAAAGAAGAAAAAATTAGAATTTTAAGCTCCAAAATGTAAATGTGATGGTTTATGTACTTTGTGAAGCCTTGGCCGCATTTGGAATGGATCAGAGCGTTGCGGCTAATTCAAAACACGCAGATCCATTCCAAATGCGACCAAAGGCCAGGCGAACCGGACCGTACAACGTCTTCTGCACCCTTGATGATGGCTGAATTATAGCCCGAAGTCGAGGGCGAGCGGCCGCCGGCCGACGTCGTCCCTGGCCTCGTCCCGACCGACGTCTTCAGCCTTCCGCACGCCGTCCCACCACGAACCCCAGCATCATCAGAACTCGCCCCCGCCCGACGTCTACACCCCGCCGACGACAAATTACTCCATCACCGACGTCGCCGAAGACGAAGAAGTCGAGGAACACCGAACGTCTCCGACCAACTACCGATACCTCCACTCCTACGCCTTGAACAACCTCCAGAATCGCGACAAGGAGAACATCATTAGAAGGACCAATGTCCACGGGATCACGCCGAAAAGAAGGAACACCTCCCAGTACAGTAAGATCGCCGCCAGTCATGTCCAACCGACGGCCATTGATTGCTCGGTCTTCGTGACCCCCTCCCCATCCATCGACTCCCGAGCCCCGTCGGCCATGCTCGAGTCCCCCGTCAAAGCCACGCCCAAGAGGATCCTGCCCCGAAGACGTCGGAAAATGGTCGAATTCGAGGACGACGACAAAACCTGGCGCATGATCCAGTACCACGCCCCGTTGCTCCTCATCCCCACCACTTTTTCCTGCTTTGTCTGGTCGAATTCCCTCCTCCCGGTACCCGTCATTGAGACCCTCCGCTTCATTTTCCTGACCACTTTCCGGTCTTCACGATAGTTTTGACTTTTTGAGGGTCTTTTGAAAAAAAAAAATTGGATTTTTTCAAGTTGATAGAGTATTTGAAGTCTAGAAGGTTAACTTTTTGACGGTACTTTTGAAAAAAAAAACTTGGATTTATTTCAGATTTATGTAGATTCGAGTGTATTTCAAGGACTAGAAAGACCCACCGAAAAAAATTCTTCGTTTTTTTCCATTTTTCTTGACCACTTTCCGGTCTTTACAAGAGGTTTGACTCGAAAGTGCCTTTTAAAAAAATAAAAAAAATCGGTTTGTTCTAAAAAAATTTATTTAGTTTTTTTTAGTGTATTTTATAGCGAATGAAAGCTCATCGAAAAATTTTTTTCGTTTTTTTCCATTTTTTTTCACTGATAGTTTCGACTGTTTTTTTGAGGGTACCTTTGAAAAAAAGTTTTTTTCTAAAAAAATCGTTCTTCGATTTTTTTTCCTAATAATTTTTCCAGCCTCCAGAATATTTTTACTCTGAAAAAAACTCGTTTTTTTCACCTTCTTGGAAATTTTTTTGATTTGATTTTGAAATTCCTCCCCCATTTTTCCAAAAATCTCCGGAGTAAGTAGATAAGAAATTGAAGAAAGAAGTTTTATTTTTGAAGTTTTTTTATGGGAAAAAAAGAACTTGGTACAGTTCATCTTGATGAGAAAAATTTTTTTAAGGTCAATTTTTATGTAGTAAGGGGTTGTGTAGACTTTTTTGAGAGAAAAAGCTCAATATTTTCGACTTTTTGTGAATTTTTTTCTATTGCAAATGTTTGAAAACTAGAAAAAAATAATGAATTTTTTTCTACAAAATAAACTTTAGAAATAGAAACTAACGTGAAGATTGGACCTTGTAATATGCATTTATTTTGTTTTCTCTATTTTTTAAGGTTCCCGATTTTTTTTTTGAAGCTTGAATGTTGTATACTTATCGATCCAAAATTGGAATTTTCACCATTTTTTAATTTTTTTGTGTTTTTTTCTTGAAAATTCGCGTTTCTCCCTCCGTCTGTAATGCTTCTCTGATCACGTTTTGACACCCTTTCTCATTTTCTCATTTTTAAAACTTTTGTGAAATATTTCAACGTTTCAACCCAATTTTTCATGTGCAATTTAACACGCCGAGCACGTTCTTCTTCAATTTTTCTCTACATAATAAGTGAACTTCTACTTTTTTTTGCCATCAATGGGTTCCTCTTGTTCATTTTTTCTTGTTTGCATTTTTAAAATGCGTTTTTGTGCTTATTTCAATGGTTGACCAACGCTAATCGGGACTTTTTTTTTTGCGAGTTCTGGTGCCTAATACTTGGTTATTTTTCTATTAAATGAATCGAATCGATTGAATCAAAGAAAGATAAATTTTTATTTGAAATTCGGCTTTATTTTCGTGAAAAGAAAAAATCCCTGAAGTGGCCACTTGGAAAAATAGGAAAGAAGTCAAAGATAGAGATACAGAGGGCTTGCGAAAGTGTTAAGTGGTCGCTTAAGGAGGTTATTCGAGGATAAAAACCCTTAAGTGATCACTCTTCGGCTTGGTTTTTGTGAAACGAAGGAAAAAAATCCCTGAAGTGGTCACTTAGAAAAAAAGGCAAAAAGTCAAAAATAGAAATACAGAGGGCTTGCGAAATTGTTAAGTTGTCACTTAAGGGAATTTTGTAAGGTAAAAAACCCTTAAGCGATCACTCAATTGTTCTGGACGACTTCAACAGAAAACTGCTCAAGTGACCACTTGAAATCTCGAAAAAACTTTTACTTATGATTGCCAAAGCCTAAGGGGTCACTAAAGCACTTCAGGAAAGTTGCCACTTAAGAAAGCGATTCAAGGGGTCCTTTAAGTGAAAAAGCGATTTGTATAACCTAACCGCTTACTTCTCACCCTATTTGTCCACTTTTCAGTGTTCGCGGTTCACAGGACATTGGTCGACCTTCGCTGACGTCATCAGGCGACTTGTGACGTCATTCCAGAACTTTGTGACGTCACCGCTTTTTGTTCTTCTTTTGCAAAATCGGTCCCACTTTTGCGTGTATTTTGGCCTATTTTAATGCTTTTCCATGTTCAAGCTTTTCCCAAACAAACGGTTTTTCCTTTTCTGTTAGTTGAATTAAACTTTCTGTGCTTTCAAGAGAAGGTTCTCGTTGATTGAATTGATAAAAACGGTCAAAGTTTAAGCTGAAATCAGAAGAAAAAGATTTTTCACAGCTTACATCTGAGCTTTTCCCTCGACGAACTTGAGGTGATAAAACATCGATGCAACTTTTTTTGGGTTGGAAATTCCTCAAGGGATCACTCAATTGTTCTGGACACCATCAACAAAAAAATTGACCACTTAAACTCTCAAAAAACCTGAAGAAAGTTTTTATTACCTACGATTGAAGCGTCTTCAGACGAATTCAAAATATACTTGAACTACGGACACCTTATCAAAACATCAAGTTGTAAGCTGATACAAGTCTGAAGCTTCTGGATGAGGCTCAACTTATTGATAACCTATGTCATTAGAAAGCTGACAACGAGAAGAATCGATTGATATGATCAGCTAAGCTGTAGCTGCTCTAGGAGCCGAGATATAGGCCGCCAAAGATTCCATTTAAAAATAAAATTGCGCGTCGAATGAAATGTCTTGGCCGAGGTTGCGCGTCGGATCAGGCGCTCGTCTGAGGCCCTCATCGGTGTGGTTTCCTCGCAAAAAAGGAAAAGCTCAAAAAAAATTTGGTTTTTTCCAAGTTTTTTCTAGTTTAATCGATAGAGCAGCTCCCATATAGTACTGTTATCATATCAGATCGAAGGGAAAAGCTCAAAAATTGGGCGAAAAATAGGACCAAAAAATGGCGCTTTTTTTCAGAATTCCAAGTTTCATAACTTCGCTCATTTTAAAGTTACAGCGAAGCTGATTATATCAGTCGAATCGTCTCGTGTTCAGCTTTGCATTGATATAAGACATTAGGAACTTCCATCAACCTGGATGACGTCACAGAAAACCGCAGCTTACATCTCAGCTCCTCCTTTGAAATAATTTAAACCATTATCAATCGATAGAACGTTTTAGGACGAATCTGATGATCTATCTCAATCCCTCATAACTGATAAAGGAGAAGAGTTATACGCTGGGGCAGGTCTGAAGCTTCTGGATGAAGCTCAATCTGATGATGATGCATATCACAAGAAAGCTGACGATGAGACGAATCGATTGATATAGTCAGATAAGCTGTAGCTGCTCTGAGAGCCGAGATATGAGCGTTTGAAGTCCACCATTAAAATTCAGATAGGCGTCACATAAAATGCATTTGGTGGGCTGCACCGCGGTGTACTTTTCTGGCGAAAAAGGAAAAGCTCAAGAAAAAAAAAAGTTGTTTTCTTCCAATTTTTCTAGTGTAATCGATAGAGCAGCTTCCATTCAGTACTGTTATCATATCAGAATGAAGGTAAAAGCTCAAAAATTGGTTGAAAAATTGATTCGAAAAAAGGGCATTTTTCAGACTTCAAGCTTCATAACTTCGCTCGTTTTGAGGTTACAGAGAAGCTGATAATACCAGTCGACTCGTCTCGCTGTCAGCTTTGCATTGATGTAGGTCATAAACATATTCAGCTTTATCCAGAAGCTTCAGACTCGACACAGCTTACAACTCTTTATTCTGATAATTTATCGAAGAGTGGCCTATATCATTAGATTCGTATCATGACGCTCTATCGATCGATATTTATCACAATCGGTTTTAAGAAAAAGCCGAGATGTAAGCTGGAAAAAGCTGTGACGTCATTCAGCTTGATGGAAGCTTCTCATGGTCTATATCATCAGAAAGCTGATAACTAGACAAATCGATTGATATAATTCGTTTTTCTGTATCTTCGAAATGAAAAAAGTTATGAAGCGTCAAAGTCTGAGAAATGCACCTGTTCAGACCCAATTTTCACCCACTTTTTAAGCTTTTACCTTCAATCTGATATGATAAAAGTACTGAATGAAAACTGCTCTATAGATTAAACTGGAAAAAACTTGAAAAACACCAACTTTTTTTTGAGCTTTTCCTTTTTCGCGAAGAAACCACACCGATGAGGGCCTCAGACGAGCGCCTGACCCGACGCGCAATCTCAGCCGTGGCATTTTATCTGACGCGCAAATTTTTTTTTTAATGGAATCTTTGGGCGCTTATATCGGCTCCTAGAGCAGCTACAGCTTATCTGATGATATCATTCGATTCGTCTCATCGTCAGCTTTCTAGTGATATAGGTTATCAATAGATAAAACGTTTCTAAGGAATCAAGTGAAAAGGTGACATGTAAGCCCTGATATTTCGGTAAAGTTTCAACTCATTCACTGTTTTTTTTGTTCATTCTTCAGTTAAATAAAACTTTATTATGCTTTCACGATGATAACATTGCTTTGATTGTTCTGATAATTTCAACAATGTGAGCTGAAAGAAGGGAATAACTGAAATAGTGAAGAGAGGGACTACTAACAGAGCAGTGGCAAAGTTCAACTGATTGGGGACCTTCTTTTTGATGGGGTTTGTTTGGTTGATAGATTGAAAAGAATATTGAAATCGGGAAAGTTATCAAGCGTGAAGCTTACAGAAGGGTAGGCCGTTCTTGGCGAAGAAGCTCTCGCCCTCCAGGTTGTGGTGGCAGCTCTGAAAATCGCTCGATAATTGAAAAAAGGCTGACGAGGGCGTTTCAGAATATGTCAAAATCAAAAAAGGTCGAAAGGTACAAAAAAAAAACCAAGTCTCAACGTTCCTAGGAAAATGCAGCTTTGAAAAATCTCAAAAATTATCATTTTAAGGAGTACCTAACAATTGCTTCAGAAGCCCAGGAACTTTTAGATCTAATTTTTTGAACTCCTGAAATCATTTCCTATCGATTGATGTGAAAATCTCGAAAAATTTGCTTTTCGGAAAAATCGAAAAAAGTACAACCCCTTCGGATTTTGTGGGTCTCTAAGTTCCTAACTTCCTATAAATCAAAATATGAATTTCCGAAAAAAGTCAAACCTCAAAAAATCATAACTTTGTTCCTAGTAGCCCAGAAACTTTTTGACCTAATTATTTGGACTTCTGACGTCATTCCCTATCGATTGATGTGGAAATCTTGAAAACTTTAACTTTCGGTAAAATCGAAAAAAGTGCAGTCTAACCCCTTCGGATTTTTTTGAGCTTCTGAGGTCATGGAAGCCAATTTGGACGAAATTTATACCAATCGATAGATCTAGTCAAGAAAAACACCTGAGGCCAGGTTTGACCTCCGTAGGTCAAATGGGGACCAAGCTATAGGTGATCAAACTAAGAGGTCAAAATCTCAAAAAATTGTCATATTTGATCTCAATCGGTAGAGGAGATCAAGGAGATCAGGAAAAACTCGGTTTGACCTCCTTAGGTCAAATAGGAACTAAGTTATAGGTGATCCAACTAAGAGGTCAAAATTTTGAAATTTGTCAAGTTTGGTCTCAAAGGATAAAGGGGATCGAGGATATGAAGAAAAACTCGGTCTCTAAAATAAACTTCTTGAGGTTTTACAAAGATACTAAATATCTATTCCAAAGCTTCAAAGTGTTTTCTGGGAAGCCCCAGACCCTTTCCGAGTAGAATAAGATCTCTAAATGATCAATATTGGGAAAAATTTGAAGTTATCAACAAAAAAATAGTTGGACTAAGTCACGCAGAAGTCTCTGTAGTTCCTTTTCTCCAAAACTCACAGTGCAGGTGAAGCAATTGGAGTGGAAGGCGTTGTTCAAGGCCTCGACCCAACGATCGCCGGCCTCGATCGGGTAGGTGCAGGAGACGCATTTCGTCGTGAACAGGGCGTTCCAGTCTGCAAAAGTGTATTTTTCAGAACACTATGAACTGAATTTGAAACGACTCTTGACTTATCTGCGCCCTCTTTCTCTCTAGTCCTTCTCAGCGAGAGAAAAGAAGGCGCAGACATGTCAGATCCTCACAAATTGTGGCGAGTGCAGCATTTTTCACAAACTCAAAAGCTTGAGCAATAACGAGGAAATTCTGACCACAAGAAGAATTTAATGACACGGTCTGCAATGCACCGTCGCGTGTAAGCAACGGTGTATGCAGACGCAATTGTTTTCACGTCATTTTTGTTCGAGATCTTGCGTCGTTTTTTCAAACCACTTTTCCTGTTTATTTCTCATCAATTTTTAAAAATTGGGCAAATTCGAATTATTTGCCACTTTCTTTTTTGAATCTCGGTACTCACAACTTGAAATTTAACGGAACGACATTCCGCTGTTCCGCTGCGTGCGGTCGCGAAGCGTTTTTCGAACCTAGGTCACTCTTTCAATTGATTGTTATTGCTGTGGGAGCACATGAAACTAGAGTACCTTAATAAAAGAAAAAAAATTAAAAGCGCACAGCGGAACAGCGGAATGTCGTTCGGTGAAATTCCAAGTCGTGGTACACAGACTATACGCAAAAGGGAAAGATATATTGAAAGCACGGATTGGAGTTCAACCTCGTTCACAGTAAGGCAGGCCCTGTTCCAGGTAGAAGGCGCTGTTGCCGAACGGCTTCTGGCAATGGGCGCAGGTGAAGCAGGTCGGGTGCCATTTCTTTTGCAGGGCGTTCAGACAATCCTGGAAAATGGAGGAAAACATGACTAGAAAAAAAAACCTCCAGAAAACGCTGAAAAGTCAACGAGAGTGACATCTATTCCAAAAAAGTCGAAAAATCGCGACAAACCGAGACAATGGCCTTGATGCACTTGGCGCAACGGGGAGCGATGTCGCGTTCGAAGCACGATTCGCAGAACTTCTCGCCGCGTTCCTCGACGAAGCCGCACTCGAGGAGGCGACGTCCGCAGGCGCGGTTCGCACAGACGAAATGTTCCGGGCACCAGGCGAGTCCCGTCGCCAGGACGAACGCGCCGCTTCAAATCAATCAATATTAACTAATTGAGTTTTTTTTTTCAAATATCATTGAGAAGCTTCTGATTGTTGGAAAGCTTAACAGTCAGCTACTATGGTCTCAAGAGATACGTGATGTTCTACGCACCGTTCTTGATCAACGACAGTTTTGCGAACCGACAAAAAAACTCCTCAATACTGGGAAAATTTTAAGTGACCACTATAGCAGTCAAATTAGTGGCCACTTGAGGGGTTAAAAATTGGTAACCCCTATAGAGGTCTAAGTGTTATTACTAGACCACTGAAAATTTTAGTGGCCACTTTAGGGGTCAATGGATCACCATTACTGGTCCAATCTGTTTGTTTTAAAATTATCAGAGTTACTGGAAGAAAATTTACTGGAGTGTCCACTAAATGGAGAACCTCTATAGTGGCCACTAAAACGGAAAATAGTGGCCACTATAGAGGTGGGTTTAGTGGCCACTTTAGTGTCCTCTCCAAGTAGTCCTTGGCGAGCCTCTAGAGTGGCCACTTAAAATTTTCCCAGTACTTCCATGATTCTGAAAATTGCATAACTGGTATGTTTTTGACAGGCTTCTCGAAAACTTTTAAGGAATCTCCAGGGATCTTCTAGCAACCTTCTAAAGGCCCTCTAAAGACCTTGTACTCAGGCCAATCCTGGGAAGGCAACCAGCAGGTGGTTGGATGGTGAATGAAAGCCAGAAGGTAAAACATAAAATGCCTGCGAGAAACCATCCAGCAGGCTTTTAAAAGTTAAGTAAAGGTTTTGGGAAAGTGTGTGGGAAGGCATTTTCCCACTTGCTGAAAAGCTTCAAAACAACTTCTGAGGAAGCGAACGTAGAAGCTTCTCAACTTTCCCCTGAGTAGCTAGCCTTCACCTTCCAACCTTTTTTTTGATTACCTATCCCTTGATTAGCCTGGGTGATTAGTTTGAATATGACTATCCTTAAGAAAGTTCAAAATGATAAAAAATAGGAAAAGAGCCTAATTAGTTCAACTAAAACTTGACCGCGTTTCAAAATACTCCAGTAACTCTTGCAGTGTGAACAGTACACCTATCCAAGCTGTTTCTGTTTCTTAATTTCAATTATTCTTGATTACTAACCGGATCTGCTGTTTGCAGGCCTCGCAGAACGGAATTCGACCTCCTTGATGTTGAGTCGTGGTGGTCAGGGATCCCTAAAACTCTTTTTTAAAGGATAATTTAATGATTAAAAAATGACCCGAATGATCTATATTTCCATTTGATTTTTTTTTTCCTTCCAGAGGCTCCTGGGTTAATTTTTTCACTTTCTCATAACTCAGACCGGAGAGACTTAACTACTTCATCAAGTTTTACTTTAGAAGAAAAGTGACGGTTTTCGTGTAGGTTTTTTTTTTCGAAAAAAAAAACTCTGAACACAACCCTACAATTTTCTTCTTAGGATTTGTTTAAACAACAAGAATGATAACTAACAGTTCCACGGAACTCCTGGCCAGAGCCCGGGCCGGTGTAAGGCCGTCGCTGCTCGGTCGTTTGCTCCGTGACGGTTTTCGTGTAGGTTCCGCCTAAAAAAGTGCAACTAAAAATGTACTTCAAGGAAAAAAAATGTAGATATTTCCTCTTGAACTTTATTTCGAGCTCAAACCACAGAAAACGCCAAGAAGTAGCAACTTAGAACGTAAAAGGCCACTCAAACAGACAAAAACCTCTAAAGTTACAAGTTTCAAGTACACTTAGGAGACCACTACTATTCAACATAAATCGACACTGCAACCAACAAAAACTTTCAAAATGACATCAGAAAACTGTTTTTCTCCAAAAGCATCTATGGAAACGCTTCAATCAACACTTAAAAAAAACCCCTAGAATGACCCCTTAGAATGAAATTGGCGGGAATCAACACTCAAAATCTATCCCTAAAATGACCACTTGCAATAATTCTCACGGAAACCAAAACTTGGCATTTATCCCTAAAACTTGGCATTTATCCCTAAATCCATCCCTAGAGTGACCCCTTCGAATAAAATACACTTTAATCAACACACATTTTATCCCTAGAATGACCACTTAGAATGAATTCCAGAGCAATCAACAAACAACAATTATCCCTAGAATGACCACTTGGAAAAAATTCCACAGCAATCAACACTTGGCCTCTATCCCTAGAATGACCACTCAGATTTTATTCCACAAAAATCAACACTCAAAATTTCCCTAGAGTGACCACTACGAATGAATTCCAAAGCAATCAACAAACAACAATTATCCCTACAATGACCACTTAGAACCACAGCAATCAACAAAACGTTACCACGTCGCTCGTTCGTGGTCGCGTTTTCGTCGCCAAGGTTCATCTGCCTTGCGAGCCGCTCGGCGAGGAACGTCTTCGACCTTTCGACGACGTCGTCGCGTTCGTCGCGCTGCCACTGCGGCCGACCGACGATGTCGCTGCCGCTTCTAATCGTCACTGAAGAACCTTCGGGTTGGCGTTGGTGGTCGTGAAGGTTGTTGTTGTTGAACGTGATCGACTGCCACTCATCCAGCACATCAAGCAAACTAAAAGACATTGAGGACATGGACAAGGACAAGGACAAGGACATGAAAAAGTACAGCACAGGTTTAAAAAAGGTGCCCATATTTCATTGACCTTTGTCAATTTCGGAATCACCTTCTTTTCAAATCTACTGGTCGCATTTGGAATGTCTCAGGACAAAGAAAAGGCAAGGAAAAGGTCCGAAAAGTTGGAAATTATGTAGAAAACTGAGTAGCCCTAGAAGGTCTTGTAAGTCAAAAAATAGTCCAGACAAGTTTTTTTGAATACAGTCCAGCCGAAAAAACTAAACCCTCCAAAAATTGATCTCAAAAGAAAAAGAAGACTTTACCCTGCCCCTTCTAGCCAAGCTAAAAAAAGCCATTCGAACCAACCTCTCCGTCTTGACATCCGTCGAGAAATACTTCCTCTGCGGCGGGGTCGGTGGCCGTTCCGTCACCTCATCTTCCTCCTCATTCTCGTTCTCATTCTCCTCCTTCCCACTCCCAGTAACCCCCAGATTCTGGAGATAGACGATGGCGCTCTCCAGAAGTGAGCTCAGCTGCGTTTGGGTCTGTTCGAGGTCATTCTGATGTCTGGCGATGCATTCAATCGCCCTCAATCGATCCTCATCTTCCATCTCTCGTAGTCCTTGCAGACGTTCGTTCAAGGCCGCCACGATCATCAGATCTCTCTCGGTCTGAGCGTCGTCTTCGAGCAGTTCCATGGCTCTTTGTCGCCACTGCTTTTCGGCGTCTGGCGCCACTTGAGAGGAAGAAGAAGTGCCTTTCTGATGTCGCTGCTCAGGCTCAGGCTCCTGGTCCTGCTCCTGCTCCTCGTCCATGTCCAGCGTGCTGGCGACGTCGCTTTTATTATCAATCATCTCAGATTCATCACCGTCATACACCGCAGAAGTTCTTAAGAATTCCGTGGTCTTATAATCGAAATTCGGCAAGGAGATGCTGTCCTCGTCCCTCGACGCCTCCGTCAGAATATCCGACTCATCGACGATGTCAGCATTGTCGGCCCACCGATTCGTGTCCGGTATGACCGTGGCTCTGGAGAAATCAACCTTCTTTAGCACTTTCGGTGGCGGTTTTTTCAGGTAGACCGGCTCTCTCGGAATGACCGACTCAGTGGTGTCTTCCTCAGCCGAAGAGTTCTTCTCGACTTGGATCAATGGGATAGGGGAGGCCGGCTTCAGCTTCTGCTCTTCCAGCTTCTGCTGGTGTCTCAATACCGATGGGAAAGGAACCGGGGAGGCCGTGAGTTTCGGTTGCTCCTTGGAATTTTGGACCATCGGCGTCGGCGGCAGGGGTTCTTCCTTACTTTCGCGCCTTCTTTGCAGCCGAACTACTGGAATGGGAGAAGTACTAGAGTCTGCAGTTTCTACAGCAGATGGTTTCAGACTAACTGAAGATTCTTTCAGTTCAGACGGTCGTTCTACTTCAGAAAAGTTAACAGAAGAGACAGCTTTTTTTGGAGCTTGACTTGAGGTGAATGGCTTCGGAATTGACGTTCGCGAAATTTCGATCGGAGATTTCTGAGAAGCTATTGAGGGTTCTGGAGCTGAAACGTTAACAACAGGTGCGGCTGGAACTGGAAGAGGTCGTGTCAACTCCCGTTCAGAATAAGAATTCTTTGATCGTTCCGAATTATTGGGCAGAACTGGGATAGGTCTTCTAATTTCAGGCTCCGGCTTCGACGTCGTGATCCGCGGTGGAGCTGGACCAACTGGCGACGTCTTCGGTGAATGGATAACCGTCCAGTGAATCTTCCCATCTCGGATTTCTGGCGGTTTGTGTGAAGTTATAGAAACGTCAAGGGTGACAGACTCAGCGACGGCGGCTTCTGAGACGGTTGGGTCTTGAGCTGGAGGAGCTCGGTAAGTCTCCTGAGCCTTTTCTTGAGTTCGAGGTACTTGGAATGACTTTTGGACTTGCTGCTGCGGTTGAGGAACTCGGTAGGTTTGCTGAACTTGTCCCTGTCCTTGAGGAACTATGTAAGATTGTTGGAGTAGCTCATGAGCTTGAGGTTTCCGGAAGACGGCATTTTGAGGGGCTCTGTAGGGTTGCTGTACCTTATCTTTAGTTTGAGGTGCTTGGAAAGTCTCCTGAACCCGTTCCTGAGCCTGAGGAAGCTGGTTGGACTTCTGGACCTGCTCATGAGCCTGAGGTTTCTGGAAGACTTGCTGTTGAGCTTGAGGCACACGGAAGGATTGTTCAGGAGCTCGGAAATTTTCCTCTTGCACTTGAACTTGTGGAGCTTTATAGGACTCCTGGACCCGCTCCTGAGCCTGAGCCTGTCTGAAGCTCTGCTGCGCCTGATTTTGAGCTTGAGGTACGCGGAAAGACCCCTGAACCTGCTCTTGAGCCTGAGGTTTATTGAAGATTTGTTCTTGAGCTGGAGGCATCTTATAGGACTGCTGGACCTGTTCTTGAGGCTCACTAGAAGATTTCTGAGCTTTCTCCTGAGTTCCACCTTCCTGAGAGCTCTTCTGAGCCTCACTTCTAGCCTGATGCTCGCGGAAAGCCTGCTGGACCTGCTCCTTGCTGATCTGTGACCTTCTCCGACTCCTGGCGTTCTGTTTCGGCTGTCGCGGCTCCACGTCTTTCTCGCAATTCTTGATCATCTCCTTCAACGTCTCCGGCGTCCTCGGTCGCTCCTTCTTCATCTGTCCGGCTGGATCGATCTGCCAGTACCTATTCTGGACCGGCGTCGCTGGCGGAGGCCATTGTCGGGGTATTTTTCCCCTTCGGCGTGGCGATACCGCGTCGCGGACTGAGCTGGGTACTCGTGATTCTGAAAAAGACACGGAACATGGAAGTTTGAGACAAGGACATGGGACGAGGGACGAAGAAGCACATGCAGACGCGACTGAAGACTGACAGGTTAGTTGAAATTTTTTGAAGGAGTTGGTTCTCAATGGAGCATGATTTCGACAAAAAAAGCCGTGAGAAGGCTCAAAGCTCATTTTTAGTTTAAAGTGTGCTCCATTGAGAACATTCTTCTTGTTCTAAGGCGAACCATTAGAATGATTGGCGGAAGGAGGCGGGTTGGACGGCGGCGGGGGCGGCGCGACTTGGACGTCGATCTGCCGGGCGTCATAGTTGTTCTGGCGACCGGATCCGGTCGAGTGCTGAGACGACGGCGAGAGACGTGCTCCAGCTCCAGCTCCGCCTCCATAGTTCACAGTGCGGGACAAGTCGGCGCCGAATTGGGCTGTTGGGACGCCGCGTTGCGAGGGGCTGAAATTTACTTCTTATGTACGATTTCAATGAAAAAAGCGCATTTTTGAGTTCATAAATTTTTTGAAAGAAAAACGGTCTAATTGAAATTTAAGATATTCTTCCAATTCATTTTTGTAATTTTCGAACATAAGATCCATATAGATCGCTCAAAAATCCTTATCACATTATTTAAAGGCGCAGAAGTCTTTTTGGCATTGGAATAACAATCTTCGTCATAAAACCAACAAAATAGCCGCCAAAATATCAGAAAGAAAAATCGATAACATGAAAAAGTAACTATGACTCCAATTCATTCAGCAATTTTCCAACATAAGATTAGTCTTCTTTGTTCAAAAAAA